GTCTATGAACTCGAGGCCGCATATTCTATTGCCCTAGGAAGCAACGTCGTTGCAATTACCCTCTGGGACATACCATGCCACCTACAGATAATCTAACATGAAGAGTAGAGAGGAGGTCGATGATTACAACCATACAAAATACCATCTTTCGGATCGTAGACACTTTCGAGTGGTGACGATATTGTTTAGTATGATGACCTCCTTGACTAGCGTGTGGTGATTGATTCAGATTGTTTGTATCCTGTACAAAAAGCAGAGGTCATTGATTTCCCCATGAGCTGATCTCTCGTCAGTTACAGGTAGACTGCAAGCATCATTTTTAGGTGGTGAGCCACTGCCTGTTTGATGGCAGCAAGTTCAATCCATGGTGCGATAGTATACTTCATTGACTTGATTTTTGGATGCATGGACCCATTGAGATATCTGTGCCAACTTCGTGAGTGAGGGATTTCCTCTCATTGAGTCATGTTACGCCTCCAATAACCCAGATTTAATTGCGATTGAAATTCATAACGAACGCAACTACCTTTGTTCATGGAACTGTTTCGCACTACTTCCAAGAAGGTAATTGTAAAGTAACACATGATTCCACTGTTGATTGGAAAGACTAGTCAATGTTGACCACGCACCTTAGAGTACCCATTTACCACCTCACGATGAGGCACAATAAACATGTCAACCGTAGTGAATGAATCGTTCGGAAGAAACATGATCAAGTCCTCTAATTTTCTCAAATGAACAATCCCAATCTGTGGATATGCACTACCGAGCGAAAGAGTACTCACAAATACGTGCATGGGGAAGAAACTGTCCAAATTGTTCGGGATTCCGCATCTACTGTCGGAATACCTTGATATTATCAATCGATGTACATGTTCAAAGCATAGTGGAAAACAGTCTGAGATTAGCCACACCTACTAGTGTAGAATTTGATGTACTGGGTGGAGGCACATTTAAGTAAGAACGATTTTATTAATATATCACATATTAATTCCATTTCATCAAACCTATAAAATTTTCTACAATCCATCCAGAGTAAACTGACCTGTTCCTTCGCTCAAAATCTGTTACAATCCTTTCAAATTACTTAGAATTAAAGCAGCACTATACGATTCTGTAATTGTATACCTCGTCTTTCACAAATCAGACAATTGAATTTAAGAAAAGAAGCATTCAATCATTAAACACCTGATATACTGAAAACAGGCTTTGTGAGGTCTATGGCATAATGATTCTTTCAATTGAACGTGTTGAAGTATAGAAGAATGTGCCAATGGAATGTGTTACACAAGTTTCACTTTGCTGTTCAATGACAATCCTACTTCCTTGTAAAATATGTATGTATAACCTGGACTTCTGAAAACACAAAAAATATCATGTGAAATGTCTATTTTCAACCGTAAAATAAAACTGAAAACCTTGATTTTATGGGTATGAAGAGCAAGATAATTCAGCTAAATTAAGCCGTAATGTGAAACTGGTGTAAAAGAATTAAGAGAGTTGTGCTATAGCAAGAGCAGATAGTTGATGTTCAAAATTTTATATTGAAATGATTATATAAACTCATGTTGAAAAAATTTAAGTGTTTATCAATTTTTCTGATAATTAATCTACTCACCAAAACAAATCTTATAATTGAAAAAAATATATACTCAATGTGATTTTAAAATAATTTCTCACTGTATAAGCATCTCACCAGGGTTTATGTTGCACTCTCTTTTTCTTTAAGGAATAGATTATGTTAGATTTTTCTTTCTACTGCAACAAATTTTATAACTTGTTTTGACTTTTTGTATTTTTCTTTCAAAAGTAGTTATATTTAAGAAACATATCAAGGATATAAATACATCAAGATGATGAGATATTTTGTTCTTCCATTTTTCCTCCTTTCATTTTAATTGTAATAATAACAATTAGAATGAGAAGAATTATTTTTTCAAATTTTAAAAATAATATATTTTTTAAAATCCAAAATAGAACAATATAAATTGGAGAAAAATGAAAATATGTCCACCCATAGTTTATGGAGGTAAATAAAGGAACTCATAATAGTATTTCAATAAAGAAGTTATCAGCACAATTTAGAAGTTACAAATGATTTATCACTTAGGACTTCAAAAACAACTTCCTTGAACTTCATAGAAACTCTAGTTATTAATCTTTTATTTTGAAAACATTGCTTATGAACTTGAATAAATACTTAAATTGATAACAATAACCACAATATGATTTTGATTAATAATAGGATATGTTGACACCAAATGGGCATCATGGAAATAAATTACAAGATTTGTAATTGTGGACAAAGTCAACAACATTGATCACAATGCCTATCTTGCCTTAGCTAGCTTGATTGTTAATGTTATACAATGTGAGAGCAATAAACCACTCAAGCCTCAAGGTCCTTGATCCCACAAACTTATAATCTCAATATTGTTGAAGTCTTGACTAGAGGCTCGCAATGCAATTGCAATCATTAGATGGTTTAGCAATGTAACTATTGCCAATTCCATTTATTGTTTTTCCAATTATTGTCAAAAGTAAGAAGTTTTTAATTGCTACAAAATTTGCATAAGAGATGTAGTTTACTAAAATATAGCTCACTACATCTCTTACATCAAAGCATCTTTGAGCTATCTCATTCCTCCTACTCAATTAACCATGAGGTATCACAAAATGTAAGACTATCCATTCAATGTTGTTGTAGCCTCTTTCTACCATCTCTCATCTCATTATAGCTAATTTTTTTCATATGATGAATATTAGTACAATTTTACATTATAGTTCTTATTAGATGAATATCAAATATGCATATTTGTATTGAAGACAATTTAAGTAGTAGCCCTTTCAATAGATAGACAAAATTGTTTGATTTTGAATTGGTGCGCAATCAGCTCATGAAGCATATAGTACTCATTCAACATGTGGGCTTCTTTTCTTTCTCTCTTTTCCTTGTTTCTTTTGAAAGTTCGTAGTATTCATTATAATATGGGTTTAGAATCGCTTATGTCCATCAATGTACCATTCTATTGTTGATAATAATCTTATAAAAATATAACTTACTAGAATGTCAACTCGTAGTTGTCAAGTAGAAAAGTAGTTATTGGAAAGCTTTAAAGTCACCACTTAGTTCTTAGGGATCATCAAGGTTCTAACCATTGTTTTTCCTTAGTTTTCTTCTTTATTACCAATAAAAAAGTTTCTTTTTTTCTTTATGTTATATCCAAGCTATTGAATATAATATACTACTAGAAATTCATGCCTTTGGCTACAAAAAAGTTATAAAATTTTAATTTGTGGTTGTTGAGTAAAAAAATGATCACTTCTAAAGAAATATTGATTATCTATCTATATATATATATATGGAATCATTTATATTTCTTCAACATAATTGATAAAAATAATTTTTATTTACTTTATATTCATGTTCTCTAACAAAAACTTGAGTCATTGGACACTACAATCTTTGGTACATCCATCTATCTTCTCATTCATCTATGTTTCATTATGTTCTTTGGTTCCCATATTTTCTTATTTCTATGTTTTTTTCTATGTTATCAAGTTTATATATATATATATATATATATATATATATATATATATTATATAAATCATATTTTTAGATATCCAATTGTATTTTATTTTTATTAAAAAAAGAAAAAAAAATCTTTTACAAAATATAAATTTCTTTTAGAAGTTTATTCTAATTCACAACAAGTAAATTAACTATGCAAATTTTATAAGTTGTAGCTCTTATTTAAATCTTAATCAATTCACTCCTTCTTCTTCTTAAATCATCTAAATAATCAAGACTAACTTCTACCATTATCTCACATTTACAATAGTAACTCACTCACAAAATGTATGTCCAAAAAATTTATTTTTATTTTTAATGTATTTTATTTTATTTCTATATGTATATAATTTTTTATTTAATTAAAATTCATCTATTAATAAAAAAACATACAAGTATAAGTTATCATCCATGAATAACTTTTCATCTACAAATAACTTCTCATCTAAGCTTAAAATTCATCTATACTTAAATACTTCATCCTTTACTTAATTCTCATCCAATAGAAACACATCCAAATTTGACCTAATTAAATCCCAACATAAGTTCATTTGAATCTAACCTAATATGTTTAATATAGAAGTTCAATTTTGACCACCTTCATACACAACGGAGAGCCCTGTCAAAGGAGGCTTAGAATCCTTGTGGCAATTTACTCTGATTTAGTAGTGCTCCTGCAGCAGCAATGTAGGTCCCTGTTGCTGAAATTATGCTACCAAGGGTCTAAGCACTAAAGCTGCTGGAGCTCTGATTCTAAGCAATATCACTTTAGAGGAACCAACCATACGCTCCATATCAAAAATCACCTCACCACTTCATCTGCCATTCAATACACACAATTATGCCAAAAAATCCTTATGGTCTAAGTAATTTTTGAACGGTCTATTTGTAAAGAGCCAACATTCCAATGGTCTCAAGTTTCTTAGCACCAGCCATGACAATACATATGAGGTCCTGAATCACATATGTGCTCTAAGATGAGCTTTTATCTAGATTTATCAAAAATGCTTCCTTCTAAAAATATAGAAAGATGATATGGCTAAACTCGTTGCATTAATGCAGACCAATATTGAAAGCCATTCTCTTTGATTCAAAACAATGAGATATATCCAAGAAGCACTTTTTCAAGCTATGGCAAGTGCACCACTATTTCTCTTTGCTTGTACACTAGACTCATCACAATTCCACACCCTATCTAAAAGATATCTATGCGAGGTATATAATCCATTTAAATTATCATAAAAGCTCTACACATTATTATTTTTTTGTACAATGCTTTTTCTTTAAAAGATGTGAGGGCTTGTACCTCTGAAGATGTGAGTGACAATTTTTAAACCACCTCAACAATCCATTGGGCTAGAATATAATGCACAAGCTTGCTCTTCTCTCATAGTTAACACTTCTTGAATTTCCCTCTTTCTGGATGTTTGCACTTCATAACACCACTCTCAAAAAGTTGTGTATGAATTATCATGATTTATAGCTACACCCTCTTTATGATTTATAATGCTTACACCCTCTTTAGCAGAGAGCATAAAGCCACTCTTATTTGCTCATTACTACATAAAGAATTTCTTTTACCTTGACAATGTCGCTTCAGTATTGCCTTGATTGTAGTGGTTGCAATTATCGGTTGGTGACATGTAGTAATGTTGTTCAAAAGCCCATGATGTCCTCCACCTTGGGGTTGCTATAAAGCAACACACCACTCTTCTATTGCACCCTCATCCTACCCATAGCTCTACCTGAGATGCCTCTCTCTTTGCCTCAATGGCATCTTCCCCACTCATTCAGAACCACATTGCTAGGGCCCTACCTATTGAGACTTTCCATGTCTCTCCCTACTCTTTTGCCAACTTCACCACCCCGAAAAAATTTCCTGCTCTGCAAAGGCAAAATCTCAAGAGTTTATAATTGTCAATTTAAGTCCATTTCCAGTTGCTTCAACAAATGCCACTCTGCACCCTGATTGCAATGTACCTGGTTGATCCTCCTCCCCTTTGTCGTCCAATCGAGTTGCCAAATTGCGACTCTTCTCATACATGGTCGTCAAATGCCACCTTGCGCAGTTTGCAAATTACAGAATTTACCCCTCGCAATCAAATTAATTCCCACGCATTGACCCAACCCAATTCAATTTCAAGATAAACAGATTCATCTTCATCACAAATGCTCATTGAAAAAACACTGGCTCAGGGGACTCTGACTGCATCCCTGCACAACTTGAGGGAGATGGAGAGTGTGGTTTAAGAAACGCTCAGCCAGGGAATTTTACTCCAAAGACCTGTGGCCAAACTCGTCACTAAAGCCTACAGGTTCCTGGTCACCGCTGCATAGATGAACGCCTCTTATAAGCTTCTGCTGCAGCGTTTAAACTTGTGTAGAGAGGAGGATTAAGAGTTTAATAGACATCAGAGCTTGGGGATTCGTACACGCTTTTGCAGATGTGTATGATAGCACAAAATAAGACGTATGATCCTGAGAAGATCCACAGAATCTTGAGGGATGAAAATATATTGCACATCAAAAAGCATAAATAATAGGTGTAAAAGAAAGAGTTCAGTCTAAAAATACATGTTTTCAGTTCAAGAAGAACCATTCGTTCATTTTAGAAGAATAAATCTATGCAACTTGAAACTCGAAAATGCTTCATTCAGAAGCACAAATTCCACCAATTACGGATACCAGCCCTCCGCCGCAGTCCTATATGTAAGTCTGAAAGCCAAGAGCACAGTCGTAGCTTCAGCATTACGTTAACACAATTCAACGAATGCAGACAATTGTGAATGATTAAGTGCATACAAACACAAAATGTAGCAGGGAATCGTACAGCATTGCGTACCTGATTGATGTATGACAAGATCGGCAAGAGAACTAGCAAAAGTGATTGTAGCCGAAGAACTGCAAAAATTTATGTGTAGTAGCCGAATATTTTACATGTCCACCTGATCCTGGGTGTAACCAGGAATTTAATGTAAATCGCCCACAGTAGCTCCAACGGACGGGCCTGGGGGATTGGTGGCAGGGGGAAAATTCTATTTAATAATGGGCATTAGATGCAATACGTCTGTTAGCCAAGGGACAATTAAATTATAAAATTAATTGCTAGGCGTATTGATGAGAAGATAATGGAGATGAATCCCAGTTTATGTGATGGACGTTGTTTCACTTCGCGGGTTAGCAAACTGATATCTCAAGTTTTGATGACGTTGACAAATCGTCATAATTATCTCCGTCTTCAGAGTTCTTATCCGACTCATCTTCTCTTGCCTCCTCGATTATTGGGAGCTCTGCCCAAACGGGATCACTAGCATTGGCTGACGCTCGTTTGAATTCAAGAGGATACCCGTTTGTTGGTAGAGAAATACGCTGCCAAGGGTCTGCAATCTTCTCCCCTTCTATAACCGGATCCATCACTGGAGAATTGCCAGCAGAAGATTCCAGATATTTATAGCAGGTCACCAAATGGTCACATACCAGACCTGCTGCCTGCATCACTGAATACATAGTTGTCGGACCCACGAACCTGAAACCTCTACGTATTAGCTCCTTACTCAACGCCTCGGATTTTGGTGTCTTAACAGGCACTTGTTTGGCGAGTTTATATTGACTAACAACCGGCTTATGGTTGACGTAACTCCACAAAAATTTGCTCAACGAGCCATACTCTTCAATGATCTGACAGTATTTGATGAACAGTAGTTCTGTTAGAAAGAAGGTCATAGCTCTGGCTTGAAAATAGGATAATCGGAGATAGAATATATTTAATAGCATTTGTATGATCTGAACGGATTTCCATCATCAATGAAGATTTAACATCTTATGTCGGAGTACAATGATCATAGATCACATCCAACTCGATGGATTTGGAGACAAATCGACATCGAGCAAGAGTTCCCTCACAAGGAAAGAAAAGAATGAGTAGCAAACCTTGAGAACATGTGCTGCATTGTCAACAGCCCCTCTCACTTTCGCTTCTGGAAAGCATATGGACGAATCTGCTATCAGTGATAGTTTCTTCTTCTCATCGAACTTGGCAACAATAGCTGGATCAAAATTCGCAAATGCGGCCCTGATCCCATACCAAGGAGCAACATCAGCCCCAACATTTTTCAATAAATCATATCACGTTTCAAGAAACCTAATAACCTTACCAATGCAACATGTAAGCATTGGGAGCGCTGTGAACCTGAAGTTATTGCGCCTGGCAAGGATGGTGGGCCAGCTTAACTCTGCCTGTGCACCCTGAAGCACAATCAACTCAAAGAGAAGCCTAGACACAGTACATTCACATGTTAAGAGGATGAATAGGTACACAGGGAATGCAGGAAACTTCAACCTTGAAATTCAGACAAAGAGACGGTTTAGAAAATATGAAAGCATGCAACTTCCAAAATCCATGTATAGCATAAATAAAAATTACTATACAGTATTGCCTCTACTAAGTTATCCCCTACTAAGTTATATCCTCTGCAAAGTTATGGAAAGCAGAGGAACGGACATGGTTAAGTTATCCCTGCTAAGTTACAACCTCCCATAAGTTCTACCCTGATTCTATTCTAGGATGCAAACTGTCCCCATACCTTAGTAGAGATAACACTGTACAACGTAACACCTCAAAGAGAGTCAGATTTTTATCTATTAATATCACACATGAAAGAGAATGAAACAAATTAGAAGTAATGATGATTTCTTACAACGATACCACAGTTAGACAAGTCAATCTAGTGGATTAACCGTAAACCTGCGCAGACCTAAGATTAGAGGTGACTGGAGCTTACTTGTCATCATAGATTGGAATGGCCCACTCACTGTCATGGTAAGCAATATGGACGTCATCTGCAAACCATGTCAACACGCGTCATCAGTACTGAGCCATCCTGAAGACAGAGAGGCCATCAGAAAAGAATGCTACGTGGCTACTTGAACATAATATATAGATCTGTAAACATCCAACAGATTGTGTCTTAACTTCACGTCGTCAACGCAGGATGGTGTGGAAGGCATGAAAATCTGGTTGTAACATGACTCTAGAGGAGCAAACATTGGATAAAGAAACTGCGTTGAGGGCATCGCGGAACTCTCACCACTCTGAGAAGTAATCCATCCACATCGTTTCTTCGTATTCATGGTTATTGGGTTGACCGGAAGAACTTCGGGTGAAATAATCTCTGTGGCCTTCGATAGTCCTGAACTGTTTCGCTTGAAACTTGCAATCCTTAGCCTCTGAGTAGGAACCTCCTGCACTATACTCAACGTTGCTGTAGCATCCGATTGTTCAGAAGATGCATGCAAATTGAGATCGCTGCTGCTATAAGACATATTCTGCGAGCTCTCACAAGACGGCGTCAGCGAACCCTTTCGCGTCGTATTAGTCAGAGTACTAGCTTTTGCCTTCAACAGGCTAGGAGCGGTGACGTTGGAAGAAAACTTATTCCGTCCAAAGGGTGCTTGGCTCGGAGACACCGCTGCTAAATTAGTGACAGCGGAAGGTTTGCCATTGTTTGATCTTGATGAGACTGGAACACCAGTATGTTGACCAATGAGAGTAGGAACCTGGGTCAACTTTTTTTCAGAAGCACGGGGTGACGGGGGTGTGGGTGTATTTTTAGAAAGTACCACAAGTTTCCGTGCAGCTGGAGACGGAGATGCAGGGCGGGTTGTTACAGTTACAGAAGTTGTTCGAGGTGACGCACCAACCGAAGCACGAGCTGAAGGAGACGCTGGTCGAGGTGTTAATTTCACAGAGGATGATGTCAGACGGGCTGTTCGGGGTGTGGGCTTCACTGAAGGAGAAGTTGGGCAAGGTGTCAGTTTAACAGAGGTAATAGAAGGCTTGGGCAAAGATTTCACAGAAGTGAGTGGAAATGGCACAACAACACCAGACAACTTGGGGTTCTCTACACTCGGGACACCACGGGGAGAAGAAGAGGGAGACGGTCGAGGTGATATCTTCAACGAAGTGAGAGCAGGCCTCACAGAAGATCGCGCTGAGGTTGGAGGAAACGGGACAACGACGCTTGACGACTTCAGATAATCAGCACTTGTGCCAGAATGAGAAGAAGAAACTTTGATGGACACATTATTCACAGAGGCAGGTCTGGGTCTCGCTGGGGATGTCCCCCGAAATCCCTTCCCGCCGGAGAGTCCATTTTGAGACAAAGAACCCGGGGCTTTGGCAATCTGCCGCAAGGGTGATGCCGGCCGCGGCGCAGCGGTCACAGTGGTGCAAGATGAAGAGGTCTTTGGTTGTTTCAAAGGAGACGCAGTTCTTGGCGAGGCAGTGATGGTGGCAGAAGCAGATGATGCCTTACTGTGCCTTGAGGGAGATGCAGTGCGTGGCGGGCCTTTGTCAGTAGTGGCAGCAGACGAGGTCCTAATCTGTATCGCTGAAGAAGCGATTCGGGGTGGAGGAGTCACAGAAGCAGAAACTGACGAAGTCTTTATCTGTCTCGCCGGAGAGGCAGGTCGTGATGGAATAGTCATGTTGGTAGAAGCAGAAGAGGTCCTGATCTTTCTCAAGGGAGATGCAGGTCGTGTTGGCGCAGTCACAGTAGAAACAGCAGTTGAAGTGCTACGAGGCTTGGCCGTAATTCTTGAGCTGGTGGAAGAACCAGTTCCTTTAAATTTTGAAGAATTGGGCACAGAAGCAGGGCTCTCAGATTCCTGAACAATTCGATCACCTGTTTCCCCGCCATTCATGGGCCTCAATGCTGCAACCAATTGATCTCGCCACTGCAAGATACACAACTTACACCACTCATTTCTCTGCAATATGCCTAAAAAGAACAGTTCACTGGTTCAGGTAACATTATTTGCATAACTAAGGATTTTGACAACCAAAATCTTTTCTAACAAAAGTTCGCTTACCAAGCTACAAGATCAGTCACATAAATCAACAGTGTATGTTATGCCAAGTCTCCAGCATTGCAAACTACTACACTAAAGAACTGAGTTTATCATCATTGGATTTCTTTCAATAACGAACGAAGCGGCTACGGAGAGTTAGAAATATATACTTGGCAAGTCCGTAGTAAGTTCATAGTAAAGAAAGTAGGGGTTGACAGAATACGGACCGGCAGAGCACTCGGCTGATCAGAGTTTAAAATATTTAAAGAGGCTTCCTTCAGTTCATGAAGAACCTTTTCATTGTGGCTTCCCGTAAAAGGCTCAGAATTTGGTACTAAGGACAATAATACAGGAAAAATTGTTGATGAAATGGATGGTCTTCTTTCTGCTATACCTATCAAACTGCAACGCAACTACAGTTGAGAACAATGGCATCCACACTGCGAACAAGACACAACTTTAAACTAGTAGCAACATACCATATCAATATATCTGTGATATCAACAGGTTCACAAGGAGACTTTTCTTTTCCGGTATTTTGTGTACAACTGTTCTAAAGCACTAGAACTAATTAGGTTTGATGTAGCTAAGGGTAATAACCTGTTGATAATTGAAAACGCAACCAAACAAGAAAGGGTCGGTGCTTCTGAAATCTGTAGCTGGTTCAACAGCAGTCCAAGATTATTGGAAGCTTCCTGCCTTAATGTGTTGGCATCTAAAGTGGGATGACCACCAGCTAACCAAGTCGCATGAGACTCTTGAGACATACCTGGCCCGCCAGTTCAAAGTTCAGTATACATCCTTGACAAGAAAATATTGGCGGAACACGAAAATACAGCTTAGTGCCACCATTCTTATAATTAAATAATATCATAAGCTAGAGTGAAAGTGCAGTTAAACACCAGAAATCTGTTGATCAGGTGGCAGATTCTTGGAATCAGGCGTGAAGAGGAGAAATGTGGACTCCACAAATGCCAGAGCCAATAGACGCACATCATCATTTCCGTACTGCAACTCAGCAAACAGCAAGTTTCAGTACGTATAACACTGACAAAAAATTACAGAAAAGGCTTCATGTTGGACATTGAAGTGTTCATTTTTGGCATGGTTAATTCACGTCATCAGCACACATTGAAAAAGCATCGCACAACCAATAAAAAACTGAAAATCTCATTTAGTTTTCTAAGCTGGAGTACGTGCTTGCCTGAAATGCAAGGGAATAAACGGCATCTTTGAAGCGGACCATCCAATTCCAACATTCCAATGTGCTTTGATCAACCACTCTGCCATCGGCACTCTGCACAAATTAGACGACCATCATTTAACCAAATCGATAATTCATCGCGACTTGTTCCAAGATTTATGAAGTCCCGCAGCAGATGAGGATGTCATTGTATTATGATTTGGAGCGCTAACAGACTATCATATCATTCTAAAAAAGGAGCAACAGCGATAAGAATTTTGGAGTACCTGCAAAGTGACCTGTTCAAAAATGATTCGGAAGATTGTACTACCACTAGTGATAGATCGCTGAACAACTGCTGATGAGGTATCTTGCAACAAAGAAAGTAGAGCAGGAGCTACGACTTGCACATAGTCGATATGATGCAGACCTGCTTCTTCTATTTTTCTGCGCAAGCATCACTAACTCATTTGAATTCCGGTTTCTTAAAAGAAGCTACAGTTTGCTATTTGAATGTTCCACGAATACAACTCAATGAAAGTGAGTCGCGAGAACTGAACATTAGTTCAAAGAAGAACAATGCATTACTTCTTTTGATAAACGGTGACCTCTCCTAGTTATTGCCCTGACAATGGTCAACACATCCCTAAGACAATATAGATAAGATCGAGTCGTAAGATGCTTCAAAACTCGCATAGATCTAACCATTTCAGCTTTCAGGCATTCGCTATGGGAAAGTATTCCAGGCAATAAATACCTCAAACGTGGCAAGATTAAAAGCCATGATAGTTGCTAGTCTTACTCAATAATTCTTATCCATTAGGATTTAATGAAGGAATTTACTTCCAATAAGAAAGGGAATCATAGCTAGGTGACGACGTCCACGTCCACGTCCACAAGCTGCCGGAGTACCGAAGAGTGAAAGCAATAGACGGACGAAAAACGGAAAACCAAAAAATATCGGGGCAGAACTTGAAGAAGAAAAAGCAATCACTCGCGAAAAAGCTAGCTCTTTCTTTTCGCATTCTTGACATTGATGAACAAACTGAGCGCGTACGGAGCACGATAGTCCAGTTGCGAACGCGGAGAATTCAGCCTTGAGTGAACTAGCTATGCTCAAAACCTTCTGAAAGATATTCGAGGCGGAAACGACCACGATTTTTTAAACGCAGTGACTTCACCTAATAAGCGTAAACTAAAATCGTTGCGGAATGAGCCCCAACAGGAACACGATTATTTGGATGATCGAAGTAATAAAATGTCCTATACATTTCTGTTGGAGTCTGTGTAACTCTAGTATGAGTGTCGCAATTATAGAAGAATGCAGTCGACCGGTGAATCAGAAAAGTACATCAAAATGACTCGGTTGCGTTCAGAGAACCTGTCAATGCACAAACAGCACTAAAAGACGCAGAGCAGGAGTGTAAGAAAATACTCACTTAACTACAATTTCATGCACGGGATTTCCAGGGTCCACCTGAAATTCCAACAAACGAGGAACAAACTCGAGGAGAAATGACGGTGGACTCTGTTGCGACACAAGCTCCATCATCTTGTTCAGAAACTCTGCCTCAGCTGACGCCTCCTGCTGCATCTTAGCCTCACTTGAAAAAGCCAGGGCGTTCTCTCCAACCTCCTCCATTGTCCCTGGCTGCTGCGCTGCCAACCGTACTCCACACTCTCGCAAGCCTCGAGCCTCCAGCCTTGCAACTAACTCATCTCCGTGACATGCATGAAGATCCACATTGCCAACACTAAGGACGATCGATCATCTTCTTCACTCATCCCTTGTGTGCATAGATCACGAAATGACAATCCCGAACGGAGTGCCGCTTTGACGATTGTGACGATTCCGATCGAGAGCAAGAGTTATGGAAATGATCCAGAGTGAAAAGGAACAGTACCGAGAGGCTGGAAACAGAGTGGACACCAACGAAGCCCATTAGGGTAGCAATCGATCTCCCGCCCAAGAGCTGGCCTGTTCAAGCTCCAGTGCAGTTCTGACATAGAACGGGGGCATCAACACCACCGAGACGCAAGTTCACAGCGCGGAACATGATTAGTAAGTTCCAACACACTAATCTCTCTCTCTCTCTCTCTCTCTCTCCCACTTCCAAGACCGTGGCCTGGAGTGCCCCATGTCTCTGTCTCCTTGGTCGCTGCAGGCTCTTCACATTTTGTCAGTTCGTTGCAAGCGTCAATGCGGTTGCGTGTTGCCACCTGTGACCACCACATTCATCCATAATTTCATCATTCATCTTTCATCGGCTTTAGGACGCTGCCCATACTGTTGTGGTCGTTTCTTGTTCGATTTAGAAATTGGACTTTTACTTTAAAGGAAGATGTATTTGTTAAAAAATGTCAACAAATAAATGTCAATCTATAAGTTAAATAAATTGGGTACAGAAAAAATCGCAAGTTGTGAAAGTGCAACAGGGAGTGAAAAATTGTAAACAACAAGCTCAATCCTTTAACCAGTAGTAACTTCGAAAATCAATATGGTTGTTAAAAATCAAGTATTAGTTAAAGTTATGGAACCATATACAACTAGGTGTCGTGTAAACAAGAAATCAAGATTATTTTTTTAGTATCCAAAATATTAAAAATAAATGAATTGTGATGGCAGAATCTTAAAAATCTCTTTGAAGTGGTACAAAAAGTATCAGTCTAATTCTTTTCACATGAATTTCTTATATTGATGCGTAAAAGGTAGATAATCAATGATTTAAAAATAAAAAATAAAAAATAAAAAAATATATGTGTGATTAAATTACATATAATAAAAATGATGATTTACAAGATAAACCAAAATTTAAGACAATGATTAATTGGATTCTTCTATTAATACATGTTATAATTTTAAATTCTACAATATTTTTTTAATCTAAGGAAAAAATTTTAAAAATTTTAAAAATTTTAAAATACTGAACATCCAAGAAATTACATATCTAGATAGATAGATATTCAATTACTTAATACCACAAACATAAGAAATAGAATTTTAAAATATTCTCTTGATTTTACAAAAAATTGTTAATATTTTTTAAATACTAGAGGATTTAGGTAATAAATTAGAGATAAAAATAAAAATAAAGATCTCTAAAACATGTATTAACAAGATTAGGGTATACTACTAAAAAAAACTATATTATTTAAATATTAAAAATAGAAAAATAAGTAAAATTTAGTAAAATTAGTTTCAAATATATAATTTTTTTATTATATCAAGGCCTATCTAAACAACACTTAGATCTATCAGTCATATGGTTATAATAACTTATTTAAGAAGTATTTATTTTTAAGAAGCCATAATAGAAACAACAAACAATTTGGACACCAAGCTTGCAAGTCTTATAGTCCTTAGAAAACATCTATGGGACCCTCTTTTAAGTTATTATGTATATAAATATATTTATTTGTTTATTTATTTAATTACTACATTGATTAATATAAATACAAAGAATTTTAGTGACTTACATCTTCACATCTTTAAAACAAATCAAGGATCTTTGTGATATATATTTTTTATTATATATATATATATATATATATATATATAGGATTAAAAATTATAGTTGTAAAATTTCCATATTAGTATATTTATTCTAATAATATGATTAATTATTAGGTCTTTAAAAGTTCTTTATAATGTAACATCTCCAATATTATACTAATATTTCCAACTATTTAGTTATATTGTAATTTTATTTATAATAAAGTATTTATTATTTATTTGTAAATAAATAAATATTTTTAAAAAATCCACTTATAAGTAAATCTATCCAATTATTTTATTGATATTTTAGATTATTATATAGATGTTTGTCAAAGATTTTATTGTTATGTTCAACAATCTGCTAATAGATATTCTTTGTAAAAAGATTAATCTTAATGCTTGATTTTTTTTAAATGATTATTTTCAAAACTATGATACAAATTGCAATCTTTAGTCTTCTATAAAATTTCTTAAGAATCCTTAAAAGTTATAACATATATAAAAATTAGATTCTAATTATACATATTTATTTTTATATATATTATAACATACATATTTATAATTATTTGTGTTTAAAATTCAAAATTAAGTGTTATATATGTATATATATATATATATATATATATATATATATACATATATAACACTTAATTTTGAATTTTAAACATATATAAAAATAAATATGTAGTGAAAATCTTTATTTATAATTAATTTCTTCTACTCTACAAAGTATTCTTTTATAAAATATTTAGGAATAAAAATAAAAATACATTAAAAAGTCTTTAATTTGTCACAAAATTACTATCTAATATTTCTAGTAATAGACATATATAGATCTTTTAATTTTCTTTGATTTTGGAAGATATCAAGGTATCATTTAAATTTATGTTGGAATTAATATTCAAGTATTTGTTAACAATTATTTATTATATGTAAAAAATTACAAATATATTTGTAAATATAAAAATAAAATATCACATAAAAGTATCTTTATTTTGATTTATTAATTTACTAATTTCACCAAAGTTCTAAATATCTTTTAAATTAGTACTTGCTAAGTCTTTAGTGAGCAAAGTTATTCTAATGTTTTCAAAATTGATATATATATATATATATATATATATATATATATATAACACTTAATTTTAAATTTTAAACACAAATCCACAATGATTTATTTTTTGAAATTTTTATCATGAAAATATAAAAAGATTTGTAGCATACTACAGGGTTTTTATTGTTGCAATTTTTTCTTTATTTCATTTCAAGTGTTTATCTATTTTTTATTTATTAATCATTTATTATAATTGTGTATATCATGTCTGATTTCACATTTAACAACAAAGTATGTAGAAGCTTAATAGGACACAAGTTCAAAATACTAACCTCTTTTTGATGGGGAGAGGTCTATAGTTGCAAAATGTGTCTCCATGCAAATTTCTTCAATAAAATGGTAACAATTTTCCTTCTTCATTGTCTCTTCAACCTCTTTGCAATCTAAATACTATTATTCCTTGTTTGATGTATAATGCTTATAACATGACAACCCCACTACTTTTGATTTGCAATGCACCAAGCCTTGTGCAAAGATCAGAATCCTTCTACCAGTCTTTCCACTCTTTTTCTAGTTGATATTACACTTCCCCTTTCTTTTCTTATCTTTTTTCTTTTTTTCTGTTTTTTTGTTCTACTTTGCTCTTCAACTTCAAAGCATGATGACTCACCACTCCATATTTGCTAGATTATGTTAAGCTTAAATCTATCCATCTGATTTTCCCCATTTTCTCAATGCTGGTAATGTTTGAAGATTATGACACCACCCACTTACTTTGAATTTGGAATGCTTTAAGACTCATGCAAACTTTTGATGACTAAGACATACTACATAACTTATACTCATTCCATTACCATAAGAAATCACAAGTTTTTTTTGTTTTGTTTTGTTTTGTTTTTTTTTTGGTATTACCTTTTTTAATTTTAATTTAAAATTTTATCAGTTTTTTTAATTATCTTAGGTGTGTATTAGTCACCATGGACCAATTTTTATTGGCTTGCACACACTGCAAACTCCAGTTCTACAAGTGGTTTCAATCAACTTTGTTTTGTTTTTGTTTGCTTTTTTTTTTTTTTTTTTTTTTTTTTTCTGTTGTTTTTTTTACTTGCATGAAGTGCATATTGAATGGAAGCCAAACTAAACCACTCACTTTACATGGACACCTTTATGTATGGTTATAAAACTAGCATTGCTGTCTAAATAGGCACATTTAGATATGATATCCTACTTTGGTGGAGGCAATGAAACTTGTTGAGTATCAAACATGAAGAGACAAAAGAGTAGAATCTTCATTGTGATCAATATGGTGTCACTTGCTATTAATACTGAAAGCTTTGTTTGTGTTTGTATCTGCAATAATTTTTGTTTGTGAGTAAGATCAACTTATTATTGTCCCTAAAGCTTGATATATATATATATATATATATGTTCATCCTTTAATTATTTGTGTGTTAATGCTAGGCATAAACTCTTTGCAAACAAATTTGACATGGAAAATACCTTGTTATCACAAATAAAAAAATAGAAAAATAAATGCATTTGTTAAAGCTGGTTAAAATATAATAAACTCAAAAATAACATAGAAATTACTCTGTAAGTTATTTCAGATTATGTGAAGGAAAAAAAGAGTTTATTTTGATGTATTACTTCACAGCACTTCTTCAATAAAAAAATAAAATAAAGAAAGCATGAGGAAGAGTGGAACAAGAAGCTTTATTTTTACAATCAAAATTAAACACATGTAACCAAGGACCCACTGTGAATAGGTGAAGGAATATGGAAAAAGGAGAAAAGAAACCTACATTGCAAAGGAAATCACACCATCAAAATTATTGTTGTTGGAGTGAACAGAAACAAAATTCTATGCCAGAAAAGACAATTTCACTTGTTGATATTATTCAAATTATATTTGATGCAGTTGAACAGAGGCAGAAAGTGATTTTTAGACACTATAACATGTCATTTAGAAAAGTAATGGTTGGTGCTAGCAGTTGGGAACAAACACAGTACCATGGGATTTGGGGTTGGAATTCTACAAAAGGTCCACAGCTGCGGTTCCCAAAACTTTTCACGAAAGCTCCATTATAAATTAATAATAAACAGTAATCCTTTAACAATTATAAAAAGATCCAAAAAGGTGGTTTTATATAAACATGTTGCAAGTTTGTGGGAATATTAACATGATTTTAAAATGGTGAAAGGAGAAAATGTGCTGAAGCAGCTGATTGCAAGGGTGCTTCGTTTGAAGTGCTAATTAATTTCAGCTTAGTTTCATGAAAACCCATCAAATATATGTGTATACATGTATTAATGGCCATAGAAGCAGACATTGAACTAGATTTGCACTGGTACTTTCTGAATAATTTGTACTCAGGCAGCCATGATAACTATGTCAAAGGTTAATGATTTTGTCAAGTGATGATATGAGTTCTATGGTGTAGACACATTTTTACAATGAGGTTAAAAAAAAAAGAAAAAAGAAAAAGAAAAAAAAGTTTATTCCATGTATCAGAACTATAGAATATAACAATCACTAGTATGATTGTATCATTGATGTAGTTTATAACTATTTGGATCCATTGTAGCAACACATATTTGCTTCTGATTCTTCATTCATGTTGAGTTTTGTCTTCTGACAGTATTAAATTTTGACTGCATTAAAATATATCAAGTATGAGTAAAGGTTAGTTTTTCCTTTCATCATTTCATTTAAATACAAAATTTTTTGTGTGTCATCAAGTTTTAATGCACATGAATGTGTCTTGTAAGACAAACTCATCTGAGATTGTCATATTAAAAGAACAAGCTCTCCACATCAAAAACACATTACAAAACAATACAAAAACAAAAATAAGAATAGCAAAGTTAAAAGGTTGGTAATCATGATCATTTTAAAGCAGAGAAATTACATGATACTATTACTTTTACTTTAATTTTACTTTTTTGAGATACATGCTTTTTTATTCTTTTTGAAAATATCCACAATGCTTGGATATGTTAGGTGTAACACTAACATTTCATTTACAAAAGCACATGGGGTAAAAGGAAGGGATAACACAAGTAAGTAGATTATTTACTTTTTACCCTTTTTACTTTTTTTTTGTAGTTGTTGCAGGGGATGGTAAATAGCCGCACCGCAGACTAGTAGTCATGGAGCTGCAGCCTGCAGCAGCTTGTCGGACTGCAGAGTCAAACCATCACGGCCATAGAGCCTGTTGACCAGGAGCCCACGGTATAATAAACAGGGCGACCAGGTACTAACAAACTAACAAACAGTCGCGCGGGTTTTGGGTTTTTTGTGGTCATAGGGCCAGGGGGCGGGGGTTCCGCTGCAGGAAGGACTGCACTGGATCGGTGACGAGAGAGACAAGGTGACAGGACCCGACGCCGGTTTGAAGGGATGTGCAGTTTCAGGATGGATGGATGGACCTGACACCACCTTGCAGGGTTTTTTGAATTCAGGACCCCCGAACAAGGAGGAAGGGAGATGAAGGAGGGAGGGAGGGAGGGAGAGGAGAGGAGTCACGTCACCAGTTAATAATCTCTTCACCTTACTACTTACTCCGATGCGCGCTGTTTTAACTCCATCGCTCTCATCTTCCTCGGACCTATCCATCCCCGTCGTCGCTGCTCAACGTTTCCAGGTTTCACCACCATTGCCGCTTCCTAACAGCACTCTTGGTTGCTTGGGAATCAGTTCCATGCCCCTCTTCGCTGCACGCACTTGGCAGTTGCAGCTGAAGGGGTAGAATTCTCACGTTGCCTTGAAGCACCTCTCAGGAAGCATGACTGTCTCCAAATCTCCACGGGTTTTCCTTTGAGAGAAGTTTGCCATCGAGTATCTCACAAGATGATGAATACACACACTTGCGTTGATCTTTCAGTCTGGAACGCTGTTATGGGAAATACGCACACTTGATGTCTTGAGATACTATTTGAGAATGGAGAGGTACAAGTCAAGACTCGAGACGAGCACTGATTGCTAGAATTTGCCTGTGAACTTGTCTGGCTCCACCTATTTCTCGTCTGAGAATTCCGAAGCATGCATTGCCGGAGCTTCGGAGTTTGCCAGTGCTGCAGATAGGTCCTTGAAGCAAGAATTTGCGTCACCCTGAAGCAACTCCCACGGTGGCCTCAACTCACATTGAAGCAGAACTGAGTTGTTGCAAGAATTATTACCACCAACATCAAACGCGAAGCGATACACTATTTGCCAATTATCATTACCTTCAATATTTTGGAGTGCCAGAAGAGTGCAGAAGTAAATGAATAAGCAAAACATCGCTACCGCTGACCACGACATTCAACATGTGTCGCTACCATTTTTCTCACTGACAAGATCTAACTATGAAACTGAAACAGGGATCTCTACCGACTACGACAGACCCTCGGTGTACGAGATCATACATCGCCAAGGATCGGCCGCTACGCTTCTTTGAGTTATAAAATCACAGGCTAGACTACACACTAATAGGTTCCTTCAACTTACAAGAGCTACTGCAAATTTCTCATTCACAATGTCTCTGTTCTCGGGTAGAAGGGTGGCGTGGTAGTAATGATTCGGGCGGAAAAGGATGGTGCTACCTTGACCAGTGTCAAACTTGTACAGAAGACCAGGTATGACAAATTCTCCACCCTCAGGGGAGCCATATGCAGTCCAACAAACAATTTCAAACCCCGCGCTATCGCCCAGGCCCCGTCGTAATTGCACCTCGCCACCTCTGGCAACGTAAAGGTTATGAAACGGCACGGTCTCACCTTCTAATCCTATCCTTAGATCGTGTCCAAGTCCAGCCGATCGTTGCTCAAGGTCGCGACACACTTGTGGCCCGAAGTAAGATGATATGCCATTGTAGAGTTGGCTCGCCACAAGATTTGCACTGTCATATAATGCCTGGTCTCTCTCAGACATTCGCTTGCGCTGGGAGTGCGTGACGGCATTCTCTAAGCAACAAACTGGAGCTGGAGCTTTTACTTTACCTCCACGGCTGGATGTTCGGGAACTGTCGTCTAGGAATGGCGTGAAGGTATGGAGAGAGTTCATCAATGCCGATAATGAATGTGCATAAAACTCAGCAAATATGGTTGGAACGTACATTATGAGTATGTCATCCAGAGTGAAATCGCTGAGATGAATCCCATTCAGCAACGTGTTTCCGAGAAACACAGTTATGGGTTCCTTAATTGTCTTCACTTTCTCTTTCATGGTTGTTTTCCACGTGGCTTTAAAAATGGAAGTGTCCAAATTAACGCCGCTTCCTGCTACACCATCTCCTTCCCGTACATCCGAGTAAACAATCTGTACGCTTGTATTGCGCTTCAAGCTGAACTTCTGTCGTAGCATTTGTGCTTCATGCCCCAGCAGAACACAATGCAGCACAAGGAAGGAGGTCCCTGCCTTCGCCCGACGGTCCTGCCACATCCTCACTAACCTCACGAAGTCCGACCCAGACGTGATAGCTTCCTCTCCATAGAGAATGTCATAAATTGTTTCCAACTCCACATCAGTATTAATGCTTGGTCTGCTGGGATCGTCCTCCGTGTAACGACCCTCACGTATCTTTTGGCAGGATTGATGCGGTGCTCCTGTCTGCAAGGACTGAGTCGAAGACATAACTCGTAGTTTCAACATTACATAACTCTTCATTGATCAAAAAGCTTGAACAACTGCGCAGCGAGGTCTACACATGGGTCTTTGGATTGCCGATTCTCGTCACATGCAGAGCATGCATACGATTTCCGTAGATGTTCCTGATCTTCCAACATCATTCGTAATCTTCTGCGGACATCTACAACAGAGACCAAGGATGAGGCATTGACACATATGAACCACTGTATAGCACGGTGTAGAAAAAGTTCAGCAGAGACGTCTAGGTCCTCCCCAACCTACATCAATGCTTACAAGCCATATGAAATTAAAATGCCCGAGGCACTTTTGCAAGAGAAAGTGCGCTCTCATCCAAACAACAGGAAAGCATGTACAACACTGAAAGCTTCTCACCTTTCGGAGCTTAGCGTGTGAAACTGGGCCATCGATTAACGTTCTAATGCTGAGGTGCGCGTGATCAGTCCAGATTTGTAGTGAAACATGACTGCCAAATCCCACCTCAGCTAGATATCTCCCTGATCTTCCTGCAAATTGTGCGAGCAGTGGGCAAAATGTAAACGCATGGAGGTCATTACTTCGAACAACTCAGAAGATTATTAAACCAGTGCACATTAACAAGACCACTTCCAAAGGTTGAAGAGTACGAGGACTGCACAGCGCCAAAAACACAAAAGCTCTAAGTTCAGGCAGAACTTAGATCTGACACTCGAACGACAGCAATCTAAGCATGAGAAGTAAAACTAACGTCAACTTCCAAATAGACATCGATGGAGCCAATCAATACGGATGCCGAGTGCTGACATTAGGGTCAAAGACCAAGGGCAGATGACAATACTTCAAACAAATCCAAGAAACCGTGGAGGTGATATTTGATTCATGACTTCCGGGCTCTGAAATTATGTCCAGTACAATCTAGTGAAATGCAGATGATTGGCTCTGAATACAGTGTCCCAAGATACTCCTCATTGTTCACCAGCATTATGACACTGTTGCAAACGATAGAACTGCAGTGTTTTCAGACTGACAGAAGACTAGAAGGGCCGGTACACCCAGAAATAACAGAATGTAGGGGAAAGGGGGAAATAGCCGACCTCGAGATGCAGATCGAAGACTAATATTTCGTGTTTTACGAGATCAAATTCCCTGCGTACCCTGTTGAGAACCATTCAGAATCTGTCTGATTTGGAACAGTCGTGATAATAAAAGGAAAATAAACTACTGGGATTCACTGTCGAAGGACTCTGGTGTAGGAATAGAACTGCCGATACATACTGTAGACCATGTTAGTTTTTGCAAGTTCCTGATACTGTGATCAAGGACCCTGAACACGAAGCTGGTACGGCTATTCATTGCTTCCAGAATGAGACTCAACGCTGCTGCTTCAACATGTATTCAGCATGATCGAGGACGGCCACAGAGTTTATTACAGCGTCTTCCAAAACTAGAGTATGTTTATCAATGCCATGCACACAGAAAGTAGCAGGAAAGGTACCCTCAACAACGACCCTCGGAAGCTAAATCCGATTACGGTGCAGGTGTCACCATCCTTGAGCGACAAGCCATAGGGAATTAAAGTTACGTAAAGCATTTCATAATGGCTCTGACCATGTGTAGGAAAAATAATCTCACCTGAACGACGTGAACACAGTCCAAGTATCCTCCTCTTCACGGATCAGACGTAGCGTGTCCTCAAGGACGCAATCCTAACCAATTTACCTCTTAAGCAAGAACAGTTTGAGTGATCTTCACTTCACAACATCGGTTTCTCGGTGACCACCACCGCAACCCTACTGGATTAACTACTACGCGAGATATCCAACTTAACAAACTGGTTCAACAACCATGACACATAGCGTGAAACTACGATCGTCAATAACCAGAACGTGCAGCCCTAGGCCGAACAATTGCAAAAGAGTCTGGCGTTTGAGTCAGCACTCCTATTGCACTTCCACATCTAAAAGTAAGCTATCAAGGATCAACGCTACTGCTCAGAAGACTGCAAGTTGGTCAGATTGAATCCCCGCTGCATGAACCATAGGTTTCAACGGATATCAGCCACTACGCTCTGTATCTCTTCGTCAAAACACACCAGCACGCGGCCTATAAACTTGCTGCATTCGCAACGAGTGGCTGCAAACGCATGACAACGCCAACCCTTCCCGTTCTCTCTCGAAATCTCCTGAAACAAGGTTTTCTGTCTAGTTGACTAGCCACCTAAGAAAAGACGCGCAAATCCTGTCGGGCAACAAACCTGCAACACTACCAGGATTCATTCGAAAATTGGAGACGAATCATGCTAGCCGGGCGGGATAATTCGCTTGGAACAAGGGAAAGAGGAGGTGGAGTGCAAGGAGGAAGAGAGGTGGGGAGAGAAAAAAAAAAAAAAAAAAAAAAAAAAACCATTGCATGCTGATTGTATGTGGGAGAGCACTAGGGTAGGGACGCCGATTAAGAAGCTTATCGTAGGGGGTGCCCAGATAGTCCCGTGGGTGGGCAGCACCATCATCCAGCCATGATGATGGTGATAATGGAGCTGGATGCCATCAACATACTAATAAACCTCTAGGCAAGACGTGATGGTACTTACCACCAGCTTTGTAGCCGGTCCTCTCCTGCGGCTTACGAACCCTCGGCAGCCTGGGCCTACTACGCCCCTTCTTCAGCCTAGCCGAGCCCACACCAAGCCGGAGGAGAGAGAGAGACGCAGAGAGACAGACAGACACACACACTCACTCTCACACACAGACACACAGCCAGACACACAGACTTACACAGAGACAGACAGCAACCGCCTGGAACTGGGCGAGCCGGTCATCTCGTCAGAGCCCAAATTAGTAAAAAAAGCAGTCTTTGTGGGGGCGGGGAGATAGTATAGGGATTTGGGAGCAGCATGGAGACCATGCACTGAGGGTGGAGCCAGTGAAAAAAGGGCAATGAAGGAAGAATGATAAATGATGCAGCCCTAAAAAAAGTTGCCAATCTTTGCTTCCTTCCCTTTGCCTTTCTTTTCTTTTGTTCATTGCAGCAAATATGGGTACTATTCAGAGGAAAAGGCAACAGACATGCATTAGCATTCCAAGGACATTAGCCCCCTGCAGCACCCCCAGTACATGATACAATGACAAGTAAAAGAAACCAACTTTGTTTGACATTGTCAATACTTCCTTGCAAGTTCTGTTTTGGATAGATATGGAATTACTTGCTTACTAACTTGCAGGAAAAAAGTTAAATGTTTTGATATGAGATAGATGAGCTCACTTGGAGGTTGGACCCAGCTTAAATAGGGAACCCAGTGAAGTTGAGGCAGAGAGGCATTCAGAGAGATAGTAGAGTGGAGTTATGAGGGTGTGGTACTCAGCAGGTAGTAATGGGGGGGGGGGGGGGGGTGAGGAGGAGGGGGATGGGTGAGGGCAAGCAGCTTGCCTCAGGAAGCCATGACTGAATGGACCTGCCCTGTTTTAACTGAGCACCAAGACAGAAGGGGGAGAGGGTACTGTGATGGGCTGATGATGGATGCAGAGAAAGGAATGGGATAACTTAAATAGTGCCCATAACATTTATCATGTTTATGAGGTGAAGGTGACAAAAACCATTGCAGGAGCAAATGAGGGAGTTGGAGGTTGGAGTCATGTTATCTGGGATAGTCACCCTCTATGGGACAATATCCAACTTCTTACACCTTTCACTGTCTCACATGTAACAAAAATAAATAAACATACAGTAAATGCAAGAAAACTGGAAGCAAGAGCAAGGAGAGTGTGTAGCATACCTTCTCTTTTTGCCATCTGCTCCTATGTTGAGTAACCGTGAGGGAATGCTTGCCAGTAGGCACTCATTTGGAAGATTGCAACTTGGCCCTTTTTTTCCACCTGCAAAGCAACACATGCAACCATCTCTGCAATTCTTCTAAGTGCAAAATCTTGCTTTCCTTGGAATTCCGTACAGAATCCGGCAAAATCCCATATCAGAACTGGCTTTAGGATCTGCTGACCCTTTTGAAGCATGACAAATTCTATTAAAAGAAGCTTGAGGGGGAGGGGGGCTTCAGTTCTTCCCCTCCCCCCACCCTGTCCAGGATAATCAATCAAACTGGAATCAGCAACATCTGTAATGCTTTTGTAACTGGGTTCTAGAATGGTCAAGGAAGCAGAAAGAAAGAGGAAGAGCACGAGCATTTCTTATTAACAACAATGATCATATTAATGGTTGTTGGGTTGATGCTCATGCCATTTTACTCGTCCCTTCATTAGTTTATCAATCAAAATGTTTCTTTCCATCCATGTCATTATTGAGAAAGTTACAGAAACCTGTAGTGAAAACACATCATCTTCAGATGAATAATTGAAGAGTTTTAGAAAGGAAAAAGAGGTTGTTGAAGCTTCAGCCAACAGTATGCACAGGATCATTTAAGAACCAGAGCAGAGGCGGGGAAGGCGGTTTTGTGGGTGTGCAGGTGGCTCTTGGGAACTGCAAAGAGCTAATTGGTATGCTATGAATGATAGTGGTCTCTCCTTTAGGAAGGAAAGGCAATGAGAGAATATGAGAAACAGAGAGATAGAAATTGCTGATGTGGCAAGTACAGAGATCACATGGTACAACGCATTGATGACAAGGCAAAGAGAAAGCTGATGTGGCTACAACAGGACATGCTGATGTGGCTACCACAAGACATGCTGATGTGGCAGAGATGGGGTCATTGGGGAAGGAAATCTCTTTATGTTAATCTTTTTATTTCTTTGTTGTAAAATTGAATTCTGTATCATTTCAACAAGTGTTTGAATTGAGACATATATATATATATATATATATAGATATTATGAAAAACAATTGGCAATTCAATTAATGAATACAGGGAACACATCACATGGGAGTGTAATAATTAGAGTTCTCATTAATAAAAAAAAATTGTAAGTGCTATGTGCTACATTTTGGAACAGTGTTAACAACCTCTACCCCCCAAGGTATTTTGACATCCATGAATGTATCATTTCCCTGAATGTATGAATGTAAATATATATATATATATATATATGTACAACTAATATTAGAAGACCATCACTACTTATCACTTCATCACATAATGATGATAACAATAAAATCAGAATGACCTGCACTGTTATAAATTAAATGTCTTGATATAGTCAACTTTTCATTGACTTTCTTCTAAAAAAGCAGGTTATACAATAGTTTAGTTTGGGGAGTGGGGAATAACTTTGTCCATCGTCCAGCAAAAGAGGCTCCACATCACTAGTGAGTTAGTTAGTTAGTTAATAGTAGACACTCTTCTGGAGTATGTGGCATCATTTCACTCGTACCCACTGGATGCGAGTTGATGAATAGAGTATAGATGATGGACTTTACTTCCACTAATTCAGTATTTGCAAACAGACACAGATATAAAAATGGGCTTCATTAACTCCCCCCCCCCTTCACACACACCCATATATATATATATATATATAAATAAGAGGTTGAGTGGGGGGGGGGGGTAGCTACCTCCACTATTTGTATTTTTACTATTAACCTTCACTATTTGATTTTAAGTGATTTTTAATAATAATATGAGATGTTTTGATAAGTTTTGAGCACTTAATTGCTTGCTTCCCACATTTCATTTTCTAGAGCTTACCATGAAATGATTTTAATCAAATAATTTTAAGTTTTGAATTATCAGTTTTGGATATGAAGGGTGGAATGAATACACGGGAGTTGATCAGAGTTTCCTGGATGTGAACAATACTTCATATGTATCTATGTATTTATTTGTTGTTCACATTGGAATGATTTGATATAGACTGAATTTGTGTCTAGATCTGGCAAAGAATAATGTCAAAAAGGATAAATATTTAAATATTCACAAAAAAAATTAAAATTGGAACCTTCAACTAACAATATCTACAATAGAAGACTGACATGAAAATTCATGAAATGATTTGAATAAATCACTTGATAAAATAAAAATAACAATAATATATTTTCTTAGTACCCACACACACATGTGCTAAAATCTAGATCTTAAAGGTGTGTTCTTCATAAGCGACTTATGGGGTTCAAACGTGATACAAAAATGCACAAAAAATCAAAAATTAAAATGAAATATTATAGGATGATATAAATTAGACCACACTAAACACAGAATACAAGTAACTTGATACACATACCTTGAATGCACATTCAGAAAGAAAAAAAATACTTCAAAAAATCTTTTTAATTTAAAAAAGAAATTAATAATAATGAATTATATAATATTATTCTTACATAATAAGGTTAAAGTAAAAAAGAAAAAAGGAAATGCACCAAGTGTGCTTGGCTTGGCTTCATATTCCTTTCCATACTTCAAGTACATTTGAGGCATAGGATGAGACTCTTATTAAGGAGGGAGGGGGGGAGCGTGGCGGTGTGAATAGAACTCTTTTCCAATACCATAACTTCAAAGGCATACTATTGGAGCTCATTGATAAGAAGGTATATATGTTGGTTTTGATTCACCAAGCATTATTTGTATTGTTGATCCATCAATTGGCACATTATTACCTGCACATTTGCAAAATTGCTGTTTTGAAGAGAATGTATTTCCATCTCTTCAAGGAGGAGTATCCAATCAAGAAAGAAATAAAGTACTTATATTTGAAGTATCGAAAACGTTTACAATGAATCTTGATCCTAGGACATCTTTGGCTAAAATTGAAGTTGCTAAGATTTTGCATCTGAAACAGATTGTAGATGAAACATCTGATGGCTTCAATGATGCACCTAGAATTACAAGAGTTCATATTAATGATGCTCAAAATGTACTTGCTCAGATTGCAGTGCTAGTGACTATAATATCTCAAGTTATAACAACAACAACTAAAAGAACTCGTGGACCAAATAAGCAACCACATAAGAAGAAAACTATAATATTGACTAATCCTAGTATTATTTCTTAAGAAATTGCCACTTGTCGTGCACGACCACCAATTCATGATGATATATCCATGTATAATGTACCTTCAATTCTTAAAAAAAAAAATCTTGGAATTGGAAGGAATAAGAATAAATTGAGTAAAGAATCATCTATTTTGTATTGTGCTACAGATGATATTTGGAACAGACCATCTATTATGGTAGATGAATCATTTTTATATATGATTATAGAAGCCCTGTCTTGCAAAGAAGATGATCCTGAACTTCAAACCATCGAGGAAGTGATGCGTTGCTCTAATTGGTCAAAATGGAAAATTGCTATTGAGTAGGAGTATGCCTCTTTGCGTAAGAAGAAAGTCTTTGGTCCAATTGTAGACACTCTTATATCTTGCCATGTGGGATATAAGATGGTATTAATATGCAAGCAAGATGCTGAAGGTCAAATAATTTGCTATAAATCTCGTCTTATTGCTCAAGGATTTACTCAAGGATTTGGCATTGATTATGAATCCACATATTTTTCAATCAGAGATTCAATTACAATTCGATATATTATTAGAATGGTAGTTCATGCCACCCTTGAGATGCATCTGATGGATGTGATAACTGCATGTCTATATGATTCTCTTGAAACAAATATTTATATGAAAGTTCCACTTCGCTTAAAAACAAGAACTCCAAATGGACCTACTTCAAGACAATATTGTGATATTAAATTATGTAAGGCCTTATATGATTTAAAATAATGTGGATGTATGTAGTATCAATGTCTTTGAGATTATTTAATTACAAATAAGTTTGTAAGTAATTCACTAATCCCTTGTTTATATATCAAACGAGATAAAACTGGTTTTATGATCATCACTGTATATGTTGATGATCTTAATCTACTGGATACTACATCTGAATGTGTT